TAGTAGAGTTGGGGTTTTGCCATGTTGGCCAGGCTGGTCTCCAGCTCCTGACCTCAGGTGATCCTGCCATCTCGGCCTCCCAAAGTGCTGGGATTACAGATGTGAGCCACCGCGCCTGGCCCTATTTGTTTTTTAATGTGAGCAAACAAATGACAGAACTCTCAAGATGCCTAAAACATACCCAAAAAAGTTTTGAGAAATAACTTGGAGTAAAAGGAATAGGCAATTTTATTTTACTTTAGTTTTTTTGGTTGCTGTCATAAGGAAACAAAGCAATTTTTCTCTTCTGAAATAAACTATACTCTGGAATGTGCTGTCAATAATTAATGTTCATTGATTCAGTAGACATTTTGATTAATGCTTTGTAATTGTCTAAATGGTCCTTCACAAATGCTATGCCAATCGTTGAAATGTTAGCAAACTCTGGTAATGATATTAAACCAACAGAATCAATACTGTGACAATAATAACATTAAAAAAATAATGTTCTTATGCCATTCTATTCTTTGAGAATATATTTCATTATAAATGCTGTGGACTATGTACGCCTCCTCTGCACGTCTACATGATGAGTAAATCATTTCTGTCACCATGACTGTGGTAGCTGGCCTCCAATAATCCCTTCCTCCTGGCATTCACAGGCTGTATTGTTCTCTCCCACATTGTGCCTGGGTTGGTCTGTGTGTCCAATAAAATACAACAAAAGCCAGGACAAAAGACACTTCTGAGATTAGGTGATAAAAGACACTGTAGCTTCTATCTTGTTTCCTTTGCATGGGCAACACCAGCTGCCTTGTTGTGAGTGGCCCCGTGGAGGCCCATGTGGCAAAGTAACTGAGGCTTCCCAAAGCTGCTGAAGAACTGAGTGAAGCCTCCTGCCAAAAGGAACCTTAGTGATCTTAGCAGTGGATCCTCTGACCCCAGTCCAGCCTTCAGATGCCTGCAGCCCCAGCTTGCCTCTTGACTACACTCTTGTGAAAGACCTTCAGCCAGCACCACTTGGCTAAGCCATTTCTGGAATCCTGACCCTCAAAAAATACGTGAGATAATATTTTTTGCTTAAAGCTATTAAGTGTAAGGTAATTTGTTACCTAACAGTAGAGAATGAATACAACAACGATTCTAAAAGTGAAAGCATCTAAGACAGACAAATCACTGAAAACTGCCCCCTCCATTCCCAATAATTTAATAAATGACTCTTGCCTTAACAATTTTGAGAAATATTCTAATAGTTCGATTTTATGTTTATGAAGAAAATTAAAAACTACCCAAGGAGAAGACCAGAAACTTACTATCTTTTTAATAGCAAGTGAAGATGACAGTTAAAAACTTTTTGAAATTTTTTTAAAAACCCAAATGCTTAGTTAAGCTCATTGCAAATACACTGACAAGGTTTCAGAGTAACAAACACCTTTAACAGAAATCCACTTAAAAATGAATGTTATATTTTATACATTGTATCTGGGGAAAAATACTATAGCTTTTAGTTCTGCAGGTTCTTCCTCTGGATTGACATTATCTTTCCGATGGCAGAGGCAGAAAATGTTATCAGTTTTGGATCATCCTCTTGTCAATAAATCAAACTATTATTCAGGGGCAGACCTATCATGAGAAAAGTAGGTCACGTCTTGATATCAGCCCATCTCTAAATCTCTCCAGGACACAAAATATTCCTTGTTATGACATGGTCTGCTGGTTTTGAAACCTTTTTTTTTCCCTTAAATCAGAGCAAATTAAGCCATGTTAGCCACCTTTCCTTATCAGGCAAAGTGCATCTTGTCTCCCTGCTTGTCGACATTTTATTTTCAGAAATGGATGTTTACAAATTGCTGTGGATTAGTAGTATTTTGTTAATTATGGACTTTTAATAGTTTGTCTTTGATCAATGGAAATAGATGGTTCTTACTACAGAGAGGTTTGACTTTTCTGCAAAGAGGAGTTAAAAGAATTCTCTCACATGGACTGCTTGTTCCTTTGGATCAGTTCTGGTTTCACCTGGAAATTGTATCATACATTTGAGTATTATTAAAAATAATGTTGTGGCCAGGTGTGGTATCTCACGCCTGTAACCCCAGCACTTTGGGAGGTCAAGGCAGGTAGATCACTTGAGGTCAGGAGTTCGAGACCAGCCTCGGCAACATGGTGAAACCCTGTTTCTACCAAAGAAAACAAGAAACAAAAATTAGCCGGCATGGTGGTGGGCACCTGTAGTCCCAGCTACTTGGAAGGTTGAGGCAGAAGAATCACTTGAACCAGGAAGGCAGAGGTTGCAGTGAGCCACTGCACTCCAGCCTGGGCAACAGAGCGAGACTCTGTCTCAAAAAATAAAATGTTGAAAGTGGGATCCACTTATAACAGGCTAAGAGGCTCTGTTTTAATAATAATAATAATAATAAATATCGTGAAAGCCTTTATATGTTATAACGTATTTAGTCGACACGAGCAAGTTGGTTGGCATATAATAAAAATAGTCGCTAACACTTACTAAATCCTTACCACACAGCCAGCATGGTTTATGTGCTTTATACAAACCAACTCATTCGGTTTCCATAACTCCTCTATGGTACGTACTATTGTTATCATCTCTATTATACAGATGAGGAAACTGAGGCACAGAGTTTAGTAAGTTGCCACAAATTCACACAGCTAGTAAGTGCAGGAGCTGGGTTCAGAACCCACACTCTTAACCTCCTCACTCACATGCCAGCGTTGTAAACCAAGTAGAATTTAAACAGAATTTAAAGACAAGAAAAGGCTGATGAGAA